TTTAATTTTCTTAATGCTTCCGTTACCTCTTCCTTCCTAATATTTATTTCTTCGTTTGTCGTCACCTCTGGTGTTGGTGGTTCATTATCGTCACCTTTATGAAATAGGGATCGAAAGTAGATCCATGTTTTCGTTTAATGTGTTTCATTTTAATTAGTTTTTTTTTCTCTTTTCTTTGTTCTTTGATCTTTTTCCATATTTCTTTTTGTGATCTGTAGAAGTCGTATTTTGCCTTTTTAACCTTTGTGTCTATACCCAGGTACCTGGGTATCCTTGGTAATTGTTTTATCTGAATCATTGACGATAGTATAAATATTTTTATTCGAGCTTCTAGTTATTCCTAGAATTATTTAGAACGAAGAGATTTATAATAAAAACCAAAGAAAAAAATGCATATAATATATTAAAATTACCTGTCAAAGTTTTTACACCATTACGTCCACACCCGTGGCACCCGGGTAACACTAATGTTTAGTAAATTATGAAGCTCTGTCTAGTTTTTTTTTTATAATAAAAGTGATATGGAAACGTAAATAAAAGTTACATTTTAAACACATTGTCCACACTTACTTATATTTACTGAGTGTTCGTTATATAGTGGACGATTACAAACATTACATGATTTTCGTGTCTTTCTTAGCAGCTTTTCGCTAAAGACATACAAATGTAGCAGTTTCCAACAATTTTGAGGCGTCCAGTGGAATCTCGAAGTAATAATGACTCTGCAGTATTACTTGAATCTGTAGGTAGAGGTTTTCCTAACATACACTCAATTCTTGACCTTGATGAAAAATTTCGGTATACGTTTGGTACTTTAGATCTAGCAGAAATTGCGGGCATCACTAGTTGTTTCCCTAAGTTTTGTAGAAAAATTTTACGCTTACTGGTTTCAGTAGAACTATGTGGATTATTCTCTGTATAAATTATATAGGTTGCTAGGCAAGCTACGTCTAGGATATTGTAAAAGAAGGCTACTGGCCAACGCAAAGTTCTGCGTTAAGTGGAATAATGAGAAACCATTTTGTCCATGTTGTCTACGCCTCCTTTAGTTGTATAATAGAACTGAATTATTTCAGGTTTATTTTTTGGGCCACTTACATTATCGTTGTTATGCATTGTTGACAGCAAGATAACGCTTTATTTCTTTTTTGGTACATATGAACAAATAGTAACACGGTCTGCACTGAATCCGTGTAATGACGATTCAGGCTCACGCTCTGGCGAAGGCAGCATTTCTTGTGGAATATATGGTTTGTTTCTTTTCAAAGTACCAACTAATGATAAATTCCAAGACAACAAGAAACGAGCTAGTGGAAGAGTTGTAAAAAAATTATCCATTGTTATGTTTCGTCCAGAATTTTTGTATCGGTAACACAAATCTTTTACTACGCGTTCACCTTGATTAGTTTCACGTCCAGTCGAATTTTTTCCAGTATAAACTTGTCCAGTAAGTGGATACGAATTATTGGCGTTACAAACCCACCAAACCTTGATGCCATACTTGGCAGGTTTTGCTGGCATATATTGCGTGAAACGTGTCCGTTTTCATACGTTATTCTAAAATTAAATGATTTATGTATAAAACATTGTAAAAATAAACAGTAATAACTTACCTTCTAAAATCCCTAGCACTCACTTCTCTTCTTCCCATTATTACAAGTAATTACAACATTAAACACGCATATAGTCACAAAAATATTAACAACTTGTAAGCACAGTTAAATAAACACTGATAGCAAACAAAGAAAAATCCCAATTGTCTGTTATTTTCGGAATGTACAAGCGAAGTTTTCCGAAACAATGCCGGGTACCTGGGTAGCACGGGTATAGACTCCCGTATCAGGTACTTGGGTATAGACATAACGGTTAAAACGATCTGCCAGTGTTCCCTTTTTATTTGTCTAACTAAAGTCTTCGTATCATTTCTGATTCGTATATAGTGGTTATATGCCTGTTATGTTTGTTGGGTTTGGTATTGTAAAAATATTTCATTCACATTTTGTCTTCACTTCCTGTCTATACCATAGTGCTGTACTCGCTTCGGAGGTACGCATACTAAAATTGGAACGATACAGAGAAGATTAGCATGGCCCCTGCGCAAGGATGACGCGCAAAATCGTGAAGCGTTCCATATTTTTGTTTAAGTCCAATTCTCTTCAACATATTTTCGGCAAGTATACACGGCATTTTTGTTGATTCCATAAAATGTATTCAGTATGTCGATGATATATATATTTGCTCCATCCGTGATTCATATGTCGATTGTGTGGACGTCCTGGAACACATCGTAAAACTCGTGGATAATTGGACTAAAGACCATGAACTTATTATATCCCCATAAAAATCTGCCATTATGATATTTACAAGACATAGGATACGTACGCCTGATAGTCTAAAAACCTGTCAGGATATGATATACCTGTTGTTACTGAGTATAAATATCTTGGTATAATCTTAGACTTAAAATTACTATGTTCTAAACATGTCCAATATGTAAAAAAAAATGTGAAAAAGGCATCAATCTAATTAAATGTGTCACTTTCAGGAAATGGGGTGCTGATCCCAAAGTTGCATTGATGTTTTATAGGACTTACGTGCGATCAATTTTGGATTACGGATGTGTGTTATGCGGATCAGCAAGCAATACATATTTACTAAAAACAGATCGTATTCAGTTTAAAAGTGTGAGATTAACTTTGGTGCTATGAAATCAACACCATGCTCCCCGTTACTTGCTGAAAGTAATAAAATGCTATTAGAAAATCGTAGAAATTTATTAGCAACAAATAATGTAATAAAATTAAGGGCTGGTACAAGCGGCTTACTAAGTATTCTGTATGAATTATCCATACAAAATCTAGTAAACAATTATTGGAGAATAAAAAATTCACCACCATTAGCAGGTGCCTTTCTGGAAACCAATGATTTACCGGTTACACTTTCAACAAATTTTATCATACCATTTTATAAATTAGAATTTAATACGATCTTCAAAAAATTTAATATTATATTTCCGAAATATTCAGATTCACATAAAATAATTAAAAAGCTGTTGAACTCCATATTGAGTGAATATACTAATAAAACTATAATTTAGACAGATGGCTCTAAGCTGAACGATGAAAAAGTTGGGTCTGCAGTGTATATTCATTCCAAAAACAAATCACTTAAAATAAAGTTTCTTCCAGATTGATCTATTTAAACTACAGAAGCCGTAGCTATTAGGAAAGCTATGGATTGGCTAGAGCACGCAAATTTGCAAGTTTAACTTAACTCAATATTGAGTTAAACCATAAGACATGTGAGCTGATATGTGACATTAAACAAAAATGAGAAAAAAAAAAGATGTAACATTAATTTGGGTAAAAAGTCACACCGGGATAAAAGGTAATGAAGTAGTAGACGAGGCTCTCTAAGGAGACTCATTCAGTTATACAAGAACATATTTACACAGTATCAGATCTAATCAATTTTTATAATAAAAAAATAAATTTTAACTGGCAAGACAGATGGAAAATATTGGCGAATACTTCAAATGATCATTATTACAAGATTCATCCTACGTTACCATCCCTAACAGAAATACCACACATATTCCATTATAATATATCGAAACGATCAGCAGCAACTATCACAAGATTAAAAACTAGTTACGGTGCTGTTCCGGCTCACCTGGCTAGATTAAACATTATAGAATCAGGAAAGTGTTTATGCGATAATATTTCCTAGTGTGATGTTAATCACATCCTATTTGAATGTATTAAAAATAAAGCACTCTCATCTACATTTTATGAAAAAATGGTTAAAAGTAATGTGCAACTTGCAGTCAAGATAAACTACCTACTGTCACTGAATCAGAAATCTATATACGATCTCATATGTAATCACTTATATGCATCCGGATATATAATATAAATTTGGACAATCAAGTTTTAAATGATAAACATAACAAAAATCATTAAAAAATCTCTGGCAAAAGGACTTGTTTCCATGCCAAACACACTATCATCATCATCAGCAAACCATAATAATTTCTTTTTTGATATTTTAGACACTGTCTGGGAAGATTGCGGGTGGATTGAGTAGCTCTGCGGTTATCACAGCCGATCCAAAAGCCGGATAAAATGTGGAGGATGACTGGCAAGGTTAGCATCCTACTATAAAGGCAAAGATAATAATGATGAAACACGCCATAAACTAAGTCGTGAATATTAAGAATAGGAAGTATTTGTGTCCTCAGAATAAAAAAATACGTGCATGGTGCCTAATATTTGAGAATCATATCACCCATCCATTAGATCGACATGATTTAAAACTACATACTAATAATATAAACTTACATTTTTGGGTCAAAATGTTTGTAGTATTTAGAGTTTAAGCCATCTACCTGATTAGTAAAAAATGTTGTCCTCTTAGCCTTTTTTCTTATGTCTTTATCCATATTTGTTCACAACTTCTTCTTGCCTAGTTCTTTTATTTTATAATCTCCAATGGATAATTTTTTGAGATATTTAATTGTTTTTATTTATTTGTATATAAACATAACAACGTTTAAGTATATGCACTATTGTAAATTTATAAATATTGTAAATATTGTAGCTGAGCTACAGCTGCTTATGTCTAGCCACTAGGAGATGCATGAGTTGGTGTTGAATGAGTATATCAATACCATTGAAATAGCAAAATCGGATACTAGTTTTTCTTACTTTAATTTTACTGAAAAGCGATTTTATTTAATAGGTTTTTGTACATGAGCAGTAAAACTTATGATATTTATTTAATATATTTTTAAAACAATCAACTTATTGTTGTCAAACATAATACTAAAAACAAATTTAATTTAATGACTAACTATATTAACAATTGTAATAAGCGTAGTAAGTACGTGTCATAAAGAAATGTGAATAATATTAAAACAATAAAAATACATATCAGGCTCCCAGACTAATCAGTTCAATATAATTTTTATGACGACCGTGATAACCAACTATAAGAAGCCGGGAGTTAGCATTGCTCAATCTTAGGTGGAAGTGTTGGCAAAAAATTAACTTTTCTTATTCAGAGACAATCGTGATATCTATATAAAATGTATTGTTGTTATTCATCATCTGTTATCATGAAAAATGTACATTTAGTGGTTTGTTGTGTGTTTTTGGGAAGTTTAGTAATGTGCGAAATAAGGTAAGTGAGTGATGGTCTTCAGAATAAAATAAACACGTAATAAAATAGTTGTAAATAGAGTGTTATTTGTGTTTTAGTATGAATATAATTAATGTACTTACCTAAAATAAGCTGATTTCCACGTGTAATTTTTATATGTGGAAATTATCAAATAGCATTTCCAAGTTTTAAAAAATGCTGTATTAAAAAGAATGCTCATACCAAAGTATAACTTGGACATTTTTTATATTCAGTAAATAACAAGACATACAAAGGTCTGGGACAAACATTGAGTATTTTTCGTATTAAACTAAAGAGTTAGTTTAAGTTCTTTTGGTTAGTATTCTTTAAGTACCACACAATCTGCGAGCATTTGAGACGGTATTTTATACAAAATAATTACCTTTATTTTGTATTTTATGGCTTTTTCCTGGCTTAATACATATTTTATCAATTTTTCTTGTCACTAAACATACTACATTCATACAGCAATTTTTTGGACCATGTCGCATAATCTTCATAGTTACTTATTCACTTTTAATCATAGAGGTTGTATACATATATTAATCAATATAAACTTTTGAAAATATTTCTTATTTTCTCTTGACGTTTTGAAGTAAAATAGCTATAACGAAACAGTTTGCTTTTATATCTATACCTAAGGTCAGTAGGGGTAATGGGGGACACTTACCTCAATTTTAAATATATTAAGATATTTTGGAAACAATTGGTGTAATTAAATTTTTGGTATAGTTCTATGTGATCAAGGAGAGATAATCCTTCAAGAAATTATGACTTTCAACATAGATTTGTGTAAAGCAAGTACTCTATAATTTTTTTTAATCTTGAGTCAAATGTCCTCATTTGCCCCAATGTACGGGGTAAATGAAGACTGCAATTATTTTCCAATTTAACTCACCTATAAAATAAAATGGGTAAATGAAGACAAAAGCTTATCATTTAATGCATATAACAAATAATAAAATCAATAATTTCTCTTACTAGTTACAAATTAAATAAAAACAATACAATTTGTGAGAAATCTTTCGACTCTTTCCAGGCTTGTTTAATGTCCTTAATAGAAAGGTATATAATGTTACGGGATTTTTGCCTTTTGGAAATACCTCCATTGATTTGATTCTACCGCTACATTCTCAATCTTCAGATGCATTGACCGTCTAAAAGAACTTCCTAGTCGATCTAAAAATGTCATTTTCACTTATTTATCGAAAACAATTACCGATACCAGACCAGCGTACCATGGTTTCGAAGTGGAAGTGTAAAATAACGATTAAGTAAATCTTGGCAACTATCATGAATTTCTTTTTCCAAATCTTCGTTGGTGTCAGATTCACTTTCCGAAATATTTTTGTTTGAACCTTTTCTTTGTTCTAGTTTGTGGAGTTTTTTTGCCTGTTCTTCGATTTATAACTTTACTTTTCTTCTTCTTGACGTAGTCGTTCTAAAACCTCTTCGGAAGTTAAAACTTCTCCATATTGAAGTGGCTTAAGCCGTATTTGTCTTTCTTTGACTGGTGTTGGAGTAACCGAACTTTCTACATTCGTTTTTATTTATTTACGAATAAATCAATTACGTTTCGTTTATCGGGATTTTCATTTGTTAATTCACTTATGGAAACGTTGGAACCAGAATTCATTTGACAGCAAGTTTCAGCATTTTCCAAACTTGTGGTTAATGTGGCCTCGGCAGTCAGGAGTTAGATATTTTATCCATGTCTTTGATGGCAATAGAAAAATCTTTTTGCGACATCTTTTTCTTATTGATAACATTCAAACATTTTCCCATGTCTGTGAGTAATACTCTATTCCATCCTGTTTTTTGACGACTAAAATTAGAAAAATCTAGAGGCTGCAGTCTGTTTATTATATTTGACGGTATACAAGGCAACTATCGAACACGGTGATTAATTTAATCTTGCCCAAGTACTTTCGATCAAAAGATCATCTTCAGGGGCATCTGAAATAAGCCAAGAAACGTTTTTTATAAAAAAGGAAAGTTAATTCACTTGGATAAAAAACTCCAAGTTTATGGTTGAAAAAATTTTATATGTGATAAACGTTTATAGACTTACTTCGTCAGTTGTGGGCTATCCGACATGAGTAGAATGTCATAAATGTAAATTTGGACATAACAATACAAAATACGATACACAAAGACAAACAAACACTTTAAAATTATTGAACAGGAGAAGCTACATGTTGTATAGAAGCCGGAGACATAATGGGCTCCCGGTCTGACGGAAATATTGAGATGACATGTGACAAATGACAGCTTGTGAAGGGCAGTTATGTGATCTGCACCTTTCAAAATTCTATGAAACTAAGTATTGACCAAAGGTCCAACTGACACCACTTTAGGAAATCAACTGATGAAATATAAAATTATATAAAAAAAAAGAGGTTAATCTTTGTAAATGGGTATATTTATTTAAAAAACCCTTAAAAGGGCCACATCAATACAACAAACGTTTTCGGACCACACAGTCCATCATCAGGTTTTTAAAAATCTTAGTTCCCAGCTGTTCTCCGAGTGTAGAGGTTCTCTCTCACCGGCTCTGGAACCCGATTGAGCCATGTGTTACCTTTAGTCAAATTTAATTTAATACTGAACATCACAGTTATTTTACAACACAATGTACAATCTTTCATAACTAAATGTAATTTAAAGGGTTTTTACCCTAGTATTTTGGTGGCTCAGGCATTGTGACCTAGCATTTTTCGATTTTTAAAAACCTGATGATGGACTGTGTGGTCCGAAAACGTTTGTTGTATTGATGTGGCCCTTTTAAGGGTTTTTTAAATAAATATACCCATTTACAAAGATTAATTTTTTTTGTTATACGTGGTATACAGCCAGCTACAGGAATTTTTCCTTGTGGATTTTATAAAATTATATAGTATATTTTTTATGTAGATTGAATAATCCAAATCTCACACTCAAACCTGTCTATAATAATCAGGATGTTAGTTTGAGAGCAAATTGAAGTTGACATAAAGTATGAATGTAAGAAAAGACTAAACAATATACTACAATATCTACAAGGTGAAGCTGAAATAAAGTTTTTTATTCGCTGAGTCGAGGACCCAGCTCGACTGTTTAGACTTCATGCACTGAGCATTTCAATATTGATTTTAAAGTTCTTCTCTTGACTGTGGATTCAACTGAACTACTTGGATTATAACCCATTTATATATTTTGTCTTCAATTTTGATTTTAACTTTTAGTAATTTAACTGCATATTCAGATTTTTCCTTTTTTACAGTACTGATAGCGGTTGGTGGACCATTTTATTGTAGTCAACCATCCACTGTCTAATATATTGTTTAGTCTTTTCTTACATTCATACTTTATGTCAACTTCAATTTGCTCTCAAACTAACATCCTAATTATTATAGACAGGTTTGAGTGTGAGATTTGGATTATTCAATCCATTTAAAAAAGATACTATATAATTTTATATTTCATCAGTTGATTTCCTAAAGTGGTGTCAGTTGGACCTTTGGTCAATACTTAGTTTCATAGAATTTTGAAAGGTGCAGATCACATAACTTCCCTTCACAAGCTGTCATTTGTCACATGTCATCTCAATATTTCCGTCAGACCGGGAGCCCATTATGTCTCCGGCTTCTATACAACATGTAGCTTCTCCTGTTCAATAATTTTAAAGTGTTTGTTTGTCTTTGTGTATCGTATTTTGTATTGTTATGTCCAAATTTACATTTATGACATTCTACTCATGTCGGATAGCCCACAACTGACGAAGTAGGTCTATAAACGTTTATCACATATAAATTTTTTTCAACAGTAAACTTGGAGTTTTTTATCCAAGTGAATTACCTTTCCTTTTTTATAAAAAAACGTTTCTTGGCTTATTTTAGATGCCTCTGAAGATGATCTTTTGATCGAAAGTACTTGGGCAAGATTAAATTAATCACCGTGTTCGATAGTTGCCTTGTATACCGTCAAAGTTTAATTATTCGAACATTCAACCTTATATTGTTTATTATATGGCTAGGAAGTCGAAATAAAATTATTTGGTTTTCTAGGGCAGCTTGTACAAATCTTGCACTTATATGGCTTTTGTGTCCATCAAACATTAAGAGTGCTTTTTGAGTAGGCTCCACATATTTGGCAGTGATCTTTTAACTTTTTACATATGGAGTATAAACTGACGAACAAACCAATTAAAGAAGACTGGCTCTTCCATATATCCTTTAGCAGTTGCCGAATATGTGGTCCCCGGAAAATCTAAACCACGTCCAGTCCATCTTGGTAAGACTACACTTCCTTGAAAAATTATGTAAGGTGGTAAATAAGAACCATCAGCGCTAATGCAACAGCTGATTAATATATTTTTACGACCTGTGCCACAAATGCGTTGATAAAGCGCTTTAATTTTTTAGTCAATACCCTTAATTTTGGAGGGATCCGTACACTATTTAGACCATATACCAATATATTTATACCAATCTTGACCGAGTTTACTTTGCTTGAATGGAGTGCAAATGTTTGAATCTTGACAAAACTTTGAACGAATGATAATAATTCTTTTTTATCCATGGAAAGTCTCGCTAAAATAAGCTGTTGTAGTTGACCCTCAACTTCTTTTGAAAAGCCATTATTCCGACCAGCGCCGAGAGATTCCAGTGAAGTTTTTCTTCCATTTATTAGGTTAAATATAACGCTTGTTGGAACTCCATAATATTTTGCAGCTGCAGCAGAGCGATAAGAACGGTTGTTGCGCTTTTACGTTTTTTGCTGTGTAGGTTTTCTTTGGTCTTTTTTTAATATATTTTCTTACCATATTGCAATTTATTTTAACCTATAACGAAAAAATGAGTATCAACTAGAAACCAAGTCTATGTATAATAGTAGAGGAGAAGGTGGGAATACGGCCCCCTAATTTGTTTTTCGACTAGAGATTATAAACAATCAACATTTTTAAATTTTAATTTTCATCCACATAACTATTAGTTTAATACTAATACAATATTATTGAA